AACCGTCGCGTTATTCCGACGCCCAAATTTGAATATGGCGGAAATTTTGTACTGCAGTCGCTGATTGGTTGATTTTTGAAACACAGTCTGTCATTGGTCAAATAATTCCCAGGGATCCTTGCGCTAGTACAACAATGGACGACCCCCCAGCGATTACAGTTAGAACAGCACAACTTTTGGGACCCAACTTTTGTCTAGAGTAGAGTACTTATTTGCTTTCCACTTTCAAGTGTTACAAACTATTACGTTAGTTTCAAACAGAATCCATACGATTTAAAGATAGGACAACTGCATGTGAGTCAATCTAAACGGTATTTACATAAAAGGAGATTGCAATCCCTAAGGTGACCGCAAGGATCGCCTTACTGGAAGGATCTTGCGTAACGCTCCTTTCCGGCTGTCTGATAGAGGTCAGCGCGTGGCGGCGAACGTGAAAGGCACCTTTGTCTGTGTTTTATAACAAATTCACCATCATGTTCTACAAATTTAGCCAAATGACAGGAAGAATAGGAGCTGCTTCACAACAGGCGGCCTTCAGACCGGAGGTAAGCTCGAAAATGACCGCTGTGGATGGGAAAGTCTATGTTTGCGTGCTCGGATTCGGATACTCGTAAAAAGTGGACGCCATGTTTCTCCGGTTACAAGCGGCAGAAGCCGGTAAGCTGTGCTGTGGGTGTGCCAAACGTCTACAACACAGCCTCTTGGTTTCAATCATCGAAAGAATATCGGTCCAAATGCATATCACTGGTTTCAAAAGGATTTTCTCTTGTTTTCGCTTGCCCGAAACATTAAGGGAAACAAGTGACCTTCACTATTGTTCAACTTATGGGGGAGGGGGGCGATGTGAACATAATTTTTGGCATGAGGAATAAATAATTAAATACATTTGTAAAGATTAGCTACGTGTACTTTGTACTCACTGGTTGGTCAGGTGCTCTATATGGAAATATTAGTGAAATCATTGGTACATGTTTAACCAGCCAAGTATCTTCAAGTAGGTTCAACTGAATCATGTATTTTTTTTCGAACACTATGACTAGGACTATGGTTTGCTGTTTTGTGAAGAGATGCCTAAAGCACACCAATCACGTACCACATCTCTCTCCCCAGGGTGTCCTGCCTCTAACACAGACAGAAGCCCCGCCCTTGATATTCGGCTCACCTGTAAAACCAGCAGGTGAGGTGGCAGCAGCTCCCCAGGGAAAGCCAGCAATAGTCAGAAACAAAGTCCCAGAGATGCAACAAATCATGCAGGTATGGAAATACAACTCTTCAAGTCTATCAGTGGCTGTTTCCGAGCAATAGCTATCTTGCAATAGCCTGGGTGCCATCCGATTTGTAACGGCGACCCCGAAAAAAAAAATTTCGGGGTTGCCATTACAAATCGGATGGCACCCAGGCTAATCTTGGAATTGCAACTTGCATCAATACTGTTTTGTTATGTTAAAAACATTAACACTACAGCTCATTGAGTCTTCCCTTTGTGTAGTTTGACCATATTGGTCAATAGAAACACATATTTATAGTATCATGATTTTGTGGTGAGAACTCATCACGAAAAGGAAACCACAGCAAACACTGTAAGATGTACAGTATGCCTGACTCTTATTTCCACCACAGAAACCTGGTAACCTGTTGTTTGTGAAGAGAGGAGGACTGGACACCGTGCTGTACAGAGGGACGATGGGGCTCGTCGTGGTGGGAGTTGTGTACGCCTGCTTTGGGCTCTTCCAGGCAATGATGCCCAAGAAGAGCGAGGACTGACACCAGCTGATGTATTAGACACCGTGGGATGGGGCAATATTCCCTACACACTAACTCACTATAAACTCACTAGTCCTGACAGTCACCAGTAAGGTGTGGCTTTGAGAGTTGGACTGTGATGGACTGATGTTTTGGGGGATGTCACAACAGATATATGCTGAGTTTGATTTTCATGACCCTGCTTACGTTTACACCACTATTAATGGATTCTAAATGATTTTCAGGGTTTGACTGTGGTGAACTGATTGTTTTCAAGTGGGATACTACTTGTATCTAAGTAGTAACTTGTATCTAGAACTACATGTATACTGCAACAGATTGGCAAGCTTGTATTTAAACCAACCAGTGACAATCTTAACATGTGAGAGTCACATGGTATGATGTTATTTGAATTCTTGACTCTTCAGTTATACACACATATGTACAGTACTGTATTCATTTGAAAGACAAGCTGTTTCTTATATGATGGGCAAAGTCATAACAATTACAAGACCCAAATCTGTCCGATATTTCACTGCAGTATCAAATGTGGTATAGAAAGAAAGAAAGATTGTGAACATATGAATATGAGAGACATCATTATATGATAAATATATCTGTAGATTTCTCATGTCTACAACACCAGAGTTTTATTCTTGTGTTCTCTGTAGTCTTTATGACAGAGAAATAAAATGTTTTGGAAATATTTCTGAGTAAGCC